TCTAGAGTTGCCGAAGATTTTTGTGGAATCTCCGAATCAGTATAGAGTTTCCCAAATCTCTGTTATCTCAGCTCTTTACTGACGAATTTGTTTAAGTTGTTGTAAATTTTAGTAATGACTATTCAACACCCTCTAGTCGTCATCAAATATCCTTTCGGTGAGGTACAAGATGGCGATTTGCCATGACTCAAGGCGTAGTGGGAGGCATGGCTTGGTGGGGTGGGGGCAGCTCCATCCGGAGAAACTATAAATATAATAGAAAAATATACAAAGAAGAGGAATGGCCTCCCCATTGTAGGTGAAAAACACCGGCAAGGGAAGGAAAGGGGGCTGTGATATGGGGCTTCACGGGAGACTTCTGGAGGAGTCCGGGAGGGCGAGAGGATAAGGTTTTGGAGGAGAGATTCTGTAACCTTTCTTCGTTATCTTGGGAAAGTGGTGGTCAAGGTGAAAGGTGGTGGTAAATCAACATATTTCACGATGGCTCTGCCACATTCTTTTCATACAAATACAACATCGGTGCATCAAGTGGGGTAGTGGGTTTACATAATTTTTTTTCAAAAAGATTTTTTTTATGATGAAATATGCATGCAAATGAAACTTATCTTATGCCACACCTCATTTGCAAAATGTGTACAGCTAAGAAAGAAAGAATGAGGAGTAAAACTCATCTCTTATACAACTTAAAGAAACAACAACCAACAAGATCATGCCACATTAAAAGTTGGCTTCAAATCACCTCCAAGTTGCTTTCCGGCTACAAAGCGCTTTCTTTTTTCTTTTATGTTCCTCGTTTTAACCCCCAATTTAAACGTTGAACTTCCTCATAACTTTGGTTTTCCTCATTATATATATTGAACCTTTTAGAAGCTCTCCTTTTCAAGTATTCAACTGATCGTGTTTGAAACTGTCACATTGGAAAGCTATTTGGAAAATTATGGTCAAACATTTCACAATAAAAAGAAATTCAATGCCCTAGGTTGTGAGTTGAACTATGCTCAAGAGTGACCGTAACCAATCCTAACAAATTTCCTCGATTGTCCACCCCGATAGTTTTTTTGTGAAACAAGTCATTATCTACTCAATGAAAGCGGAAACAATTGATAGGATAACTATTTCCATTGGTCGGATTGGCATACCTAGAGCACAAGAGCTTTACAGGTTAGACAAGAGGAAACAGCCCGCCTCCCACTTGTCTCACTGCGTTTGTGGCCCTCCATGGTTAGATTCTTTCTCCCAAAGAGGGGAAAAAGTAGCGTTGTGGAGCACTCACGCTGCTCGCACAACGTCAGCCATGGTGGTGGCTCCCTGACATGATCAGACGGCCTCTTGACCCCGCGGCCCTCACCCTTCCACCCACTCGCCAGTCCGCAGGGAGACCTGCAACTCCTCTCCCCCTCTCCTCTTCTAGAGACTTCTGCCAGATCTGGTGTGTTGCGCTGCTTCGTTTCTTACGGTGATTCATCAAGCCACCCGCCTCCTCCGCCGCCGGGGATGAGGATCTCACAGCAGCAGCAGCAGCCGCCCATGATGAGGAGTTCGTACCAGGTAACACCGCCTCACCCCACCCTCCCCCTTTGCCCTCACCCTGTCCTTTGAGACGTATGTGTACCTCCGTGGTAAAGATCGCCATAGCATTTCACGTTTGCAGCCTTGCTCAGTTGCTCGCTACTGCATCCTCGCCGCCTACCTCCCCGAGCTGGCATAGATCTCCCTAATCCCATGGCGCATGGCAGCGGGAGGTCGAAGGAACCCTGGGGCCAAAAAATATCTTTTTTTCCTACTCGCCACCTGGCTCCTCCGGTCAACAGTCAATAAAGTCTGGCTTGCCGGCCGACGACCAGCTTCTCGCCGACGGTGAGGTGGGGCGAGAGACAGAGCCACGCTCCAAAACCCCAGTTTTCCTAAAACCCTAGTTTAGGTTAGATCAATGGTTCAAATAGCAGGGTATGATATTTAGCGGCGACTTTCTCCAAAAGCTATAAAAAGCTACAGCGGGATATAGCAGAAGCTATTCATTTAGCGGTTTTATAGAAAACATAAAATTTCTTAATGAACTATGCACAGAAATATTTAACTAGACAAAAAAATTTATGAACATAAATACTCAAATACATGTAGAATATCTAGGAGAATATTTTTTGAGTCCATTATATTGAAACCAGCGGCACATGTAGGATATCTAGGAGAATATGTTTTTAAGTCCATTTTATTGGAACCGGTTGTTCTGAACAGTTGAGAGAGGGTGGAGAGAGCTCGGCTTTGGAGAGGGGACACGCCGGGGGTTTCAACAAGTGGAAATGAGTGGGAGGCGAGTTCCCTTGTCTTCATGCCCTTGGGGCACTTATATGAGCAATGACTATTTACATGTGGCCCTTTGGTGGGGTTGGATTTCACATGACACTACTCTGACTACTAGTTGGGCCTCTTCTAGGGGAGACTTGCTCAAGGTCTCCCCCAACATCACCCCAGCAAACACTTCAGTGGGAGGGGCTTCGCCAACACTTTAGCTTATACAATGACTCACTCACACCAACACTTCGACGTGAGGGGCCTCAATATCATCTCCAACCCCACCAAGGGAGCACTTGTAAATAGCCATTACCTATATAAGTGCCCAAGGGCATGAGGGAAGGGGCCTCACCTCCCACTCACTCATTTCCACTTGTCTCAAATCCTAGTTTGTCCCCTCTCCACCACCGAGCTCTCACCTCCCTCCCTTCCTCCCTCCTCCCCCTCTCGGCATTCAACATGCTATTATGATAAATGTTAAGTAAATCATCAGTTCCAACACACTACCTAACATTTATCATATGAATCAACATGCTATTGTGATCAGCACTCGACATTCAACAATTCAATAATCATTTAGTGGTTTATTACATCATTTAATGAGTAAGCAGAGAGAGAGGCATAGATTATAGTCCTTTAGTCTAGACTAAAGAATTAATATCTACCTCAGTCAGGATTAACGGTGCTAAAAATATATCGCGGAGAAACCAAATAGTGGTGTTTAGTGGAGCTAAAATGTCATTAGCGGCAATAACGGAATAATTAGCAATAGCGTAGCGGTAGATAGTCTGAAAAGCTATAGCGAAGCTATAACGGAGCTATAGCGGGCTATTTAAAACCATGGGTTAAATTAAGTGTAGTGACATTTATTAGGACATGATTAATTCTTTTGGTGGGTGGTTGGATATTAGCTTGGTGGGCTGATTGGATGCTCGATTCTTCTGCTGGGACTATTTTCTTATTTAGGCCGCTCGTGAGCCTCGCAAACCTCCGACGTTTAGCATGTTCAAATTTTGAGAGTCTTTGATCAACATGTTTTAACATATGTCGAAGACAAACCCCAATCAGGAGGTTGAGACGAGCGCGGAGCTCGCAAGGGAGCCAGTGCTCACTGTCCTCGTGATCAGGATTCGTACCGTCAATTCCGTCTGTACCAAATATGTTGGATTCGGAACCGGTTTCGTGATCAGAAGTGACGGCCGGCGGGGGCTCGATCATCCTCATAACTAACCATGTGGTTTAGGATATGGAGCCCGGTGATAAACTGTATGTGCAGAGCATGCTTGTGAATGACGTTCGACAGCTAACTGCATATGTTCTCCACCAAAGATCGATGGTCGACGTTGAAGTCTTGAGGTTTCCTCAACTCGAACGTACGCTGCACCTAGCCTTTGAACCAAAGATTCCTCAATGGGGACGGTGTAATTGGGGTTGGGTATGGTAATCCGAAGTTATGTTCCTCGGTGTCGACATGGCATGCAAGCGCATTCTCGATTTGTCACCGGGCAATATCGTAAGTATTGACTATTGTTTCAATCTGGTCTTATGCGACATTGTTTCTTCGTTCGATTGAATTACCGGTCTTATGTTCTCTATATGTTTGTTTTGTGTGAAGTGAGATGCATAACGCTTGGTTTACATGAGGATGTTAATATCTCCTATCTTCATCTCGAAATGGTCTGCATGAAGGGCTGTCGCTGTGCTCGCCAAATACTCAAGGCAACAGGAGTCATTGGCATGTTAGTCGCCGGTGATGGGGCATACACTCATCGCAGCTTCCTACGATACACTCCTTCAAGTGCTCAAGATATACTACAGATCCGTCTCGCCGGGCAAATAGTCAAATTTTCACAACTTTTTGTCAAATTTGCAATTTGTTTTGCTAACATTCGTGAATCATTCTTTCCCATTTTCTTTAGGCTACACCCAAAGATCACCGATGTGGAGATGGATGTCAGGTCAATCCAATGACCATGAAGCAGGTCATTGATGCGCTATCTTGATTCACTACACCGTCACCGACCACGACGTCTTTAGCAACCATCATTCGTGCAGAGAGTTTGTCTTCTATGTGCTGGCGGTTGCTTTCTGCACTAATGTGGTCTGTCATGTGGTCGTGATTTTGTTAGGAAGTGTTGAACCATTATTTGCTTATGTAGTGGTCAATCCCAAAATTAGAATCCGTACTCTGCTTAAGGATGGCAACGGATCGGGTTTGGGGCGGATATCCGTGGGTTTCGGGTTCTGCGGGTTCGGGTTTGGGGCTGGTTTTTCACCCACGGTTTTCGGGTTCGGGGCCCCGAAACCATTCGGGTTCGGTTTCGGGTTTGGTTTTCCACCCGTGGATATCCAATGGATATCCGAAATAAATCATTTAGAATTAAAACTCATGTTTTATAATATACTAATAATAATTTGTTTACTTAGATTATTAAATTTATTTAAAGTTGACTCATGAAAATATTTATTATTTGTTGCCTCTTGTTTATACATGTGAATATGTGTATATATATCCGCAGGTTTCGGGTATCTATTCGGGTTTCGGATATCCGTTCGGGTTTTGGGTATCCGCTGGTTTGGTTTTGGTGATGGATTTCCACCCGAATCGGTTTTCGGGGCGGATTCGGGTTTTGATTTCGGGTTTCGGTTTTGGGTGCACGGAGACTCCACCCGATCCGAACCCGACCCGTTGCCATCCTTAACTCTGCTTATGTGCACGTCCTTCTCTTCAGCTCTTTTCGCACAAATGCATACAGAGGGTTCTTAGCCTTGGGCATCCTGTCACACAGCAAGTGTGTCCATCAAATCCTCTCTGCATTGTGATTGCTGCAAAAGAGAAGATCCAGGGTAAACCGTTTTACACAGGGTGCCCTATTTGCAGAAGCTGTGATCTGAATAACACGAGGGCCACCGCCGGCACCCGCTGTAACAACCCAAAAATCCACACACCAAAAATCACAACTACAATTTTTTTTTGTCAAAACCCTATCTGATGTTGAGTGACACATGTAGAAGCCAAACCCTAGTTCTGGATTAGATGTGACCCAACTAGGTTAAGATCATAAGCATAGCTTGGTTTTATGCCACATGTGTAATTAAATTCCTAAATAAATAAATCATGCATGCATCCTTAATTCCACTTGTGATTTGGATTCTTTTGCCTTATGTGATGTTTAACTAACTTACTTAATATTTATGATAAACCCTAATATATGGGATGTATTTTGACCATCAATTGAAACACCTTGTGGGACCCACTACATAACACGAAGCTCAAGTTTAAACTCTAACTAAAAGTGAATCAAAGCAAAAGAAAGAAAAGAGAAACAAACAGAAAAAGAAAAAGAAAAGGAGGGAGCAGATAGCCCAGCCAAGCCTCGCCTGCCCTTTCACACGCGTAGCCCACGAAGCCGGCCCAGTGTCGTCGCCCGCACGCGCGCAGCCGCTGAAGCCGGACCTGCCCGTCAGCCATCACACACCGCACGCCGCCGCATCAAGACAAGCTGACAAACCGGACCCCACGCGTCAGCCGCCCCACCAACAGGATCATCTTTCTCCCCACGCCGACCTCTTCCTCGATCGGGGGCTGACCAGCGTGGTAGGTGCGGGCCAGGGGGTCACGCAAGAAGCATGACCCTGTTTCCCCTTGCGCCGCGCCTACGCTACCGCACGTAGGCCGTCGGATGCGCCGCACGCATCACCACCGCCCGATCACCGTCCGCCATTGGAGCCCTTGGAGCTCGGCTATAAAAGCCAACAGCCGCGAGCCTTAACCCTCAGCCCGTTCGACGTCGCCACTGGTGGCACAGCACCACACCGCGTCAAGCCGAGAGAGAGGGAGGAGGAAGAAGCAAGGAGGACAAGGAAGCCGCTGTGGAACCGGACCTCGCTAGAGCTAGGAGCGCCGCCCCGATCGGCTACAGCGACGTAGCTGCTTGGCACGGCACTGCATCGCCTCATCACGGCCTCGCCTCGCCACCGCACCGCCATCCTACCGCCACAAGCCCTACGGTGAGCCACGTCATTCGCCGCTCACCGCGCTAGCCGTACTCGCCATGAATGCCACTGTGTTCCTACACCTGGGGAACGCAGAGGCGGAGCATTCCTGCTCCTGGACACGCTACACACGCACTGCACGCGCACAAGCCCAAGGCCTGGCCTCACCGACCCCTAGCTGCTCGGGAACACCGGCACGGCCACACCTAGCCTCTCGGACGCCATGAACGGACCACGTCGGAGCATGAGCTCTTGCTCCGGCTTAGCCAACCAGTAGCATAGAAGGACCATCACGACCCTCTTGTTGAGTCAAACGGAAACGCGAAGCAAAGGGAAGAAAGGGGGCGACGCCGAGCCCTCTGCTCGGGAACGCCAGCACCGAGCGCTCTGCTTATGCCATGCAAAAGCATCGCACGCACGCACGCGCTCACCATGGCCAGAGCACAACCATGGCAAGACCACCGCGTCTTCTACGTCGCGGTAAAGGCGACGTTGACACCCTGACTGGCTCCGCCATGATTAGAGACACACCGCGCTCACCTTAGCCGAGGATGAAGCCCACCAGAGCCCTGCGTTGCCGCACCGCACCTCGTCGGAGCGCCACCGCGTCCGCTTTGCCCCCACCACCATGGCTAGAGCCACTGGGAGCACCAGCAGCTCCTTCAACATGCATACCATGGTCGTAGAAGCACCGTGGAGCTCACACGCTCCTCCAACTGGGCTCTCGCTACCACTGCAGCCCTGACCATGCACGCCGACAAACCCACGTCGCCGTTCACCGCGGCCAGCCAACCTTAACTTCACCGGGACACCCGCTATGGCATGGCCAAGCTTTTGCCCACCTTAATTGCACACCTGCGCCGCTGGAGGGGTTCGCCGGTGAGCTCACCACCGGCGGGAGCACGACGGGGAAGAAGATTGGGATTTTCCCCTCGCCGGCCACACGTCCGTGCACTTGGTGCACGTGAATAGAACACTAGGAAGGAGTAAGTGGACCAAGTCCTTCATAGACCGGCTCTACGGTCTATGGACCAACGCAGGCGGGTTCACCAGGAACCGCGCCTCACCTGTCAGTCACCGTTTGACCCCGGACCCACCTGTCAGCCGCAGTTTAGCTCGGATGGCGCCATGCTGACGTCATGCTGATGATGAGACCACGCCAGCGTCGGGGACTTCGGCAATCTCTTCGACCACGACAGCGATCTCTCCGACCACCTAGGCAACCTCTCCGACCACCGAGGCGATCTCGCCGACCACTTCAGCGATCTCACCGACCACCTCGGCGACATCTTCGACCACCACGGCAACCTTTCCGACCACTTCGATGACCTCTCTGACCACCACACCAGCTGTGCCCTTACATGCCACGTCAACCAGTCACAGTGTGACACGTGTCAGCCCTGAATTAATCAGCCTTAATTTAATTTTCGGAAATACATAACTAATTCATACGACCTCAGAAAAATACAAGACTAGGACCAAAATTCATCTAAAATCGAGCTCTACGCAATGAACCTATGATTGAGTGCATTTGGCTCTTTTGAATTTTTATTGCTTCTTTGTGCTATTCTATAGACGTCGCTAACGCGACTATAATGCGATCGTTTGCAGACTCGGAGGAGAACCAGACGGACGAGGACCGAGAGTACCGTGAGGAGTATGGAGACGACTGCACTAAAGGTGCCACATCCCACCCAACCTCGTAGCACCTATTACGCATGGCTAATATAGAACTGCTATTGCTTTACCTTATTGTTATATTCACACCATGATAGGACTTGCATGGTAGTATGCTTTCTTGATGGCCTTTACCTTGACGCAACCTTACCCCTGCTCACCCTGCTGTTAGGCTAGTCACACGCTTGCTGCTATATTTTCATTGCTTATTACTTCTACTACGCTTATACTATATTGATGCGTGGTGGAAACTAGCGTTATCTGAACTATGGGGAGAGTGCTGTGTGTGTGACTTGGGTGCGTGGAGGGTGAGAGTTGTGTCGACCAAGTTGGAGTATACAACGAACCTGGGGCAAGTCTTGCCGTGGGGTGCTACATGCGCACCCCTTGAATGGATACCTGTGGCAGGGAAATGGTAATTGGAGGTGGCCTTGGATGTGAACCTTGGAGAGGTGGAGCTCGGGGTAGGGGTGTTGTGGTGGCACGTAAAATGAAAACCCTGATGAAGACATTCTGGCTTGGTCAATTCCTAAGGACTTACTAGTACTCAGACTGACCGGGAATTCTTTACATCCCACTCGTCCTATATGGTGCGGGACAGTCGGACTACTTGGTAGAACGATGCCACTACTGCTAGGCGAACGTGTGCAAGGATGTACGGGGCGCGCGGTTTCCCCCACACCCTTTCGAGACTTTAGGAGGCCTTGTGGACCATGCTCTTGACATCCGGAGGGCCCCGGCTCTGTCTACGACTCACAGTATCAGCCGTCCCAGACTAGACTTGGGATGTTCCAGGGCTGAGAGGTAGGGTGGCATCGTTCTAGGCTAGCAAGCGACCGGAATTCTGCCTAGGAGATACATGGATCCGAGGATGGCTAATCTTGTGGGTATGTAAAACCTCAGCAGAGTGTTTGGTTGATCGATCGATACATATGCCGACTTGTCGGCTATGGACCTTTTCTGGGTTTCGCTTAAACTAGATAGTGAGATGAGTCCTTCTCTTCTCCCTCTAGGAGTGAGTGTTCGGACGTAGCCAGGCCTACGGCCCATGAGACAGTGCCGAGAGAGAGTTGGCCTGTCGACTGAGGGATGGTATGGTTGTGATGTGGTGATGATGTGGAGATAGTGGTATATCGATCCCAAAATTGAAACCTGGCTCTGGACGGGAATGTGGTGGAATGGGTGTATGAATGGTGTTAAAATTTGACCAAACATTATTATGTACTTGATATGCAAAAACATAGGAAACTTCAGCCTTATAGGTTCCGCTTGATTTTATCCAACTTGCATCCAATTTGCACAAAGCAATACTCATAGGGTGGGAGTGGCCAGTACAAATCGTACTGATAAATTTTGACACACAGGTTCTGCTGAGGAGTATAGCTCTAAGGAGTTTGACGGTTGAGGAGTTCGTTCCTACGCTCGAGTTTGACGATCTCGTCTTCAAGCTGTTCTGAATGAATGCTACTTTTGATTCCGCCAATACGGCGATGTAATAATTTATGTAATTCCATACTATTTGTATTCTAATATTACGTTATATGGATGTGATATTTGACTAAAATTTTGAATAATATGATCTACAACGATTTTATTACACTTAGTCTGTGGTTTTCCTTCGTGAAAATCAGATCGTTTCACCAGCACTGCGGCGTGGCCGGTGAAGTTGTAGAGGAATGGCAGCCCGGGCGCCCTCCTGTACCTGTACCTCCCCATCAGGCACGCGAACGCCGACCAGACCGCGGCGAACGTGCTGTCGGGGAGGTTGGTGCGCTGGGTGCCCGAGTTGACGAGCATTCTCGCCGCTGGGACCTTCACCGCCTGCCCGGCGACCATGACGCCGACGAGCCGGACGAAGTACAGCGACGGCAGGTCGCGGCTGGGCACCATCGCCGTGAACTACGCGTTCGCCGGCGGCGCCGCCGACGCCGTGGGCCAGGTACCCGGCGCCGCTCGACAGCGACGGCAGGCAGTAGGAGAACACCGGGCCGCCGTACCTGCCCGCCGCCTGCGACGACAGCGACACGCTCCTGCGGCCGAGGCCGATGAGCCCGTCCTCCGTGCCGAATAAACCGGTGTTGTCGTGGCCGCACCCGAAGACGAAGCCCGGGATCGCGTCGGACTCGGACGGCGCCGTCGCAGCGTCAGCGTGTCGCGCGCGAGGTCGCCGCCGGTCAGCGACCCGTCGGCGTACGCGACCTCGAACCGGCACGGGTCGCCCGGCGAAGAGCAGGTCCGTAAGTTGCCGAGGTCCCGGCACTCCCGGGCGCCGCAGGGCACGGTGGAGAAGGTCGACGCGTCTTTCTTCTCGTAGCAGTCGTGGCAGGGCTTGCACTGCACCCACGACAGGTCGCTGCCTGTGTCGAACTCCACCGTGAAGTGCCTCGCCGGCGTGCCCAGGCCGACCGTGACGACGTAGTTGTTGGTGCCGAGGGACGCCGTGGCCCAGCGCGCCGGAAGGTGCACGACCTTCGAGGTTCTTGCTGCGTTGATCGCGGACGCGCCGGCGATCTTGCGGTGTATGGAGGTGGCCTTGTCCCGGTCCCGGTGCATGATCTCGACAGGAGACGGCGCGGCATGGCGTGAATGCAGCGGCGAGCATGTGCCGTGCCGGTGCACGACCTCGAGAGCCGACGTGTTTTGTGCTCCTGCAGGACAGCAGGAACGAAGTTGCGACGTAGAGATGCAACTTTTGATTTCTCTAGATCGTGTAAATTCAACGAAGCAAAGTGATCCAGGTTTGTTTCTGTAATGATGAAAAATAGAACGAATACGCATGATTTAAGGGGGGCGATCCAAAGCTACTAGTTAGCTACAAGCACACAACTGGACCGTTATTTGAACAGACGGGGGTTGATTCATTTCAAAATTTCTACTCAAATTGTAGTCCTTTCCCGCTTTATTATGACTCGATCCCCTCTCTCGATCGGTTGTACGATTCTCTGTTCTCTTCGCCTGCACTCTGGGATGGTCACATCAAGTCAAGTAATTGCTATGTTGCACTAGGGTGTTTCAACCTTGCTCTAATATCCACCCCTCGAAGCGCAAAACGGCACACTACTTGTCAGCTGCCTTTTTGGTTGACACAAATTAAAGCTATCATCAGCGCAGAGCACCCGCTTCTTTATACGTACAGCAAAAACAGCTAACGCAACGAGCCAGCGAGGAAGCAAGGCAGAGTGAGAGTGATGTTGGGGGACCGTGCAGACCGTGCTCGGCCGCAGAGAGGTGACGCTCACCACGTGCCAGTCGTCCTGCCCGCCGCGGGACGAAGGTCATCTCTGATCTCCCAATGATGATTTTGATTTGATGAAGCCAGGCCCGTGCCCCTCGTAACGACGTAGCGCCTTTGTTGTCCTTTCTGTTGGCGGCCAAACCAAAGTACAGTAATTGCATTACCGAGGAATAATCTCGCGATCGCATTAGGTAGTGGCACGACCAAATAAAGTTTGGTCGCTCGGTGACACGCACCCTAATACTTATAAAGCTCTCAATGTGGTCTGGTGAGCGATGACTGTACACGGTCGATGTTGGAATTTTGGATGCATAGCGTGACCCCACTACGAATATGAAACGTAGGAGATTAGGGAGAAGCATCGATGACTATGGGACTGTGACTCTGCCACTATAGCGGGAATAGGATTGATTACCCTTTATCAAACGTGCGCCATCTTTCGCAGCAGCAGCAGCAGAAGAAGAAATGAAACGTGTGTCATGCATGGACACGGTGCCTGTCTGCTTGAAGATCACGCGGAAACTTGTCATGTGCAGGCAGCCGAAGCTGGACCCGATCGATCAGCAAACGGTTTTTATTCGACACCTGTCGGATGGGCCCATGGGGTCCGGTGCATAGGCAGGCCAAGCCCGCATCCGCCGCCGGCTGGGCTTTCCATCTCGGGGGCCCAATTGCTGTGTGCTGGCAACCTCGCGGCCCAGCTGGCTGGCTGCATTTTCACCGAGTGCACCGCTAACCAGATTTGCACTGGTGTACGGGCTTTGCAGGATGACAGTAAGCGCTAACCAGATTAGCACTGGTAAATGCAGATTATACAGTGCCCCTTATACATTCTGTTACCTTCCACACTTTAGCTTCAGGTAAACAGTAACTTCCCCAAGTTAAGTAAATTCCGATAAATTTCCACTTGTTAACGCGAAGAGAGTATGTCCTTTGCTATGTTGAGTCAAAAGTTCTCACCACTAAATAAACATTTTTCTTAATCTTATTAAAATTAAAAGGAAGAAAACAAAACAAAGGCAGACCCTCTGCCTTCAGTTGGCATCGTAGCTAGCTTCTGGCGCACTCAACAGCTTGCTAGTCACCACTGTTCGAAAGCAGCAACTCCTACGCTTCTGGCAAGAACCAGATGTTCTTTCTTCTTTGCACCAGAGAACAAGATATAAAGCTCCCAAAGCATACCAATTTCTCCACTTATATTTCCTTCCTGCTTTAAGAAAAGCAAAGCAGAATCCATTTCTCAACCCGGTGTCGTGGCCGCCGGCCACTCGATCGAACCAGCTGCAGGAAGAACAAATGCATATCAAGCGGATGCCTCCACAGCGCGAAGCACACCACCGGACCGATCACAACCCCCGCGGAGACCGGCGGCCGGCACACATCGCCGAAGAACCCAGCCATGTCCTCAGGTCCGGCGAGGGGAAGCAGCAGCGCCGGCGTAACTCCTGCAACGACTTCGCCCGGATGCTGGCGCATGGAGGGCCTGTCGAGGTCGATCCCTCGCCGCCGGAGCCACTACCCGGCCGTTCCCCACCGTCTCCAGCCGCTCCTTCCGCCGCCGTTCGTCCGGTAAGGATGCATGCAGGCGCGCCTGCAGGCTGCCCGCAGGTTGCTGCAACCGCCGCATGCACAAAATGCCAAGCCTGCAGGTGCCCGCAGGCTTTATTGCATTCCCTGCGCTTGCCTGCCGAGCCTTGCGGCAAGAGAAACTCTTGCAGGTTGCCGGCGCCCGCAGGTGCCCGCTTGCAAGCCTGCGAGGCAAAAGCTGCCTTATGCTTCACGCGTCTGATGCAAACATTTAACGTTCAAACCAAAGCTCGCCTAACGCTCGCGTGAGACGAGAAAATTAGGGATTCCAATCATTGCGCTTCGCAGTTTCGCCATTTGGGTCTCCATACATGTAACACTTAATTTTCATGCCATTTTGTGTATTTTCTATCTCGCCGTCAGAGCCATGGCGTCGCCGTTACTGCCGCGGCTGGTTCTTTTTGGGATTCCTGGTTTCCGGAGGAGGGTGTGGGCTGTGCTCTGTTTGACATGTGGGGATGGGGACCTCACTGCTCAGCGTGCGCCTGTGTGTCCGTTTGTGCGTCTGCGCTCGTGTGTAGGCCGAGCGAGTGATAGGGATGTGTGGTTAAGTAGTGGTACCTTGTGGCCAACGCTAGTTGGGGTGTCGTGAAAATGGCGTTCTTGCCTAACGGCCAGTGGTTGGGATTTTGGGAAATGGTAGGCCATGAAGCCGCTCCCTCCCATAAATATTGCCGCCGTAACTGTCCTTAAGGCCTTGTCGGGAACGAAGGATTGCAGAACAAGAATTACGAAAAACACGGGAACTAGGATGGATGAAAACTGAGGAATGGAAATTTTGAGGCGTTTGGATTGCAGGAAACAAGTTGCATCGTCAGCTTTTTATTTATTTCCCGATGTGGTTTGTGTAGTTATTAACCACATTATTATAATAATTCACAATTATTATCTCCTATACGGCTATACAGCGTGGGACCCATAATAAAGTTATGTGCACACACAGGTTTTCTTCTCTTTCTTCTACCTCCGGCTCTCCTATCTCCTGCACAAGCACAAAGCTGCTGGACTTACCTCTTCTCTCTCCCGTGTAAAGAAAAGTTCAGCCAAATCCTCATTATCCAATATCATCCTACACAGCCCGTGTCTAAAATCAGCTGCTCTCCCCTCTCTATCGTGTGCATCCACTTAATAACAGCCTTGTTGCCCAAATCGGAAGTTATAGGATGAGTAGATCCATGGCAGAGATGAATGGTTCTCGACCAATTTTTGTACGGAATTCAAGCCATGGCGCAAGGTAGGAGACAGGGCGGCAGCAAGCAACGTTGGTGGGAGAGTAGATAAGCAGCGAATTTTTTTTCCTTGGATCTCAGTGGATGTTTTATAACTTTGTATTCCTTCAATTCAAACGCTCCCATTCAATTCCTTTTCTATGGATTGTGTTCCTTCGAAATTCCCGTGAAAATCCTTCAATCCAAACAGCCCTAAAAAAACATTGTCGTAAAGTTTTGCAAACCAAAATTAATGACGTAATCATGAGTTCTGTATTCTGTTAGTTGGAAACATACGGCCAAGTCCTCTTTTTGAGTCCGGGGGGGGGGGGGTTGATAAAACCTACACCGTTAAGGATCAGGATTGTCAAGGCACGATAGTGCCATGATTAGTTGATTAACACTACGCCAGAGAAGCAAATCAGAGACGGCTCGTAGCTAGACATGTCTTAGATAAGACGTCATATATTGGATGTGCGGCTGTTGACTAATTTTTCTGAGATGGTTGTCTTTTCACTCGTCTGTACTACTTTATCTGTGACGGTGCGTAAAATACCGTATCTGGTATGGCCGTCTCCTTTGTTGCTTTCTCGCGTAGTGTAAGTATACGATGGCTAGCTCTTGATCCTTTCCTACTAGTATAAGTGATTAGCACACGTAAGAGGACTACTGTAAACACGAAAATGAATGATAGGAACGACCAAACGGGTCACAGTGCTAATCGGCGATACACCGGATAGACCATAGATAACGTTGTTTAGCGATAGCTTCCACTTTTTTTTTTCACCTCCCAACTAGCCATCCATAGATCCTTCTAGGGGTGTGTCTAGCCGAATACGTCGACTCCATCCTTGCTCTCGCCCTCGAAGGCACTAGGCACAACATACCTGCGCCGTGCCTAGCCGCCCAACAGGCAGCACTACGGCAAGGGCGGGCCGCAAGCAGATCCATCGGCTCACCCGCTTCCAGCCCCAGGCGCCATCCCACCACGGAGGATAAAGAATGGTGGGGCGGAACAGAGGGACGTGGTCAGATTTTAGGTGAACCTTCCTACTGCTAGGGCTTTGTATATATGCACAATCGACCGACACACATCCTTAGATGTATCTAAGAGACCTCTAGAAACCTCTACGAACAAGTCTTGCATGAAGACGCGGCTTGATCTATTCTCAGTAAGCTCGAGATTGGACATTGGTGTCTTCACTGTGACTGCCAGATGGACCACCGGTATGCGACAGATGGTCCATCAGGGCACAACCCAACCCCTAACATTTAGTCACTTCTACCTAAACCTCCGTATGGTCCTTGTGTGTAACATAATCCATCGAAAACCCTACACCCAAAAAAATATGCAACTTCTTAAAAAAAAATTGAGTAAAATGCATCATAGGTCCATTAATTTTCGGAGGAGTGTCATCTGGGTCTATCAACTCTCAAAGTGTATTTTTGAGTCTCTAAACTTTCCATCTTGTGCACTGCTGGTCCATACCAGTTCGAGAGCTTGGTATTTTTTCATTGAGCCC